CTAGGATTACAGGCGTGAGCCACCGGTGGTCGGCTGATTTCTCTCTCTTTTCTCTGCCTCTCCCTCTCTCCTCCTTCCTTTTTTCTTTCTCTTTCCTTTCTTTTTCCTTCCTTCCTTTCTTTTCTTTTTTTTTTTTTTGGTGGGGGGTTCCGGTCGTGGGCCTGAACTCTGGGCCTGGGCGCTGTCCCTCAGCTCTTCAGCTCAAGGCTAGCGCTCTACCACTTGAGCCACAGCGCCACTTCCGGCTTTTTTCTTTTTTCTTATGTGGTGCTGAGGAATCGAACCCAGGGCCTCAGGCATGCAAGGCAAGCGCTCTACCACTGAGCCACCTTCCCAGCCCCTCCCTTCCTCCTTTCCTATTTTCTTAGCAAAATCCTAAGGCTTTGGGTCTTTCCTACATTTTTAAGCAATCCCTTGGATCAAACCCACAGGTCCTGGAAGAACTTGCTGCTTTCCTGCGGATTTTTGAAACGCCTCTAACGATTGGTCAATAACTTTTCTAGCCGAAAAAAAATAACAGAGGATTCCATTGGCTACCGGCGTCCAATGTTAGGCGGTTGCCATAGCGACGCGGAGGCGCTTCGGTGGGAGGCCGAGTCTGTGAGGCGGCTGTGACGGAAGAGGACGGGGCGCAGCGCCTGGGATGCCGGCTGGGATCTCTGATCCCCGGGTGCGTGCAGAACCCCCGCGCCCAGCTGGGTGGGGGTCCTTCCTGGGGTGTGCCTCAGTGTCCCCCACCGCCCGGTCAGTGGCCTCGGCCTTTGCGTGCTCCGCCGCGGGCGAGCGGCTGAGCCCAGCCCGGGGTTGCCTTGGCCCTCCGCAGCAAACGTACCTTGGGCCTCAGTGTTCCCAGCTGTAACATGAAAGCCTGAGACTGGAATTAGAGAGTCCTCAGCCAGTTGCTAGTTTGTGTGTGTGTGTGTGTGTGTGTGTGTGTGTGTGTTTTGGTTTTTGTTCTGTTTTCCAACTTCTGTGACACACTTTTTTTTGGCCTAAGAAAAATACAAAATGGAGGACTTTGGAAAGTGTAAAAAGTTCCTGGAAAGCTTGATAACGTTATAACCAAATCAATCAACACCTGTAGCCAAAGCTTCCTATGAGCCAGCTGCAGGAAAGTCCATGAGACTCTTAACTCCAATTAATCAGCAAAAATTGGAAGTGGAGGTGAAGCTCAACCGGTAGAGCACTAGCCTGAGTGAAGGGACAGAGCCTAGGCCCTGAGTTCAAGCCCCCAAAACCCTCTCTCTCTCTCTTTCTCTCTCTCCTTCTTTCTCTCTCTCTCTCACACACACACAGAGACTATATGAACTATGGGAAATCATCAAGGTAGAAAAGGCATGAGGTTTACTTTTAGTTGGTTCCAAGGGTTGCAATTAGAATGGAGGAAAAAGAAAGAAGCAGCTCAGACACAGGAAGGGAATTGCTGGCTATTAGAACTGCCCAACAATGAACTGCAAATTTTCAAACTGTTCTGGGGAATTTTGTTTAAAAAAAAAAAAGGAAAGGCTGGGAAGGTGGCTCAGTGGTAGAGCGCTTGCCTTTCAATGCATGAGGCCCTGGGTTCGATTCCCCAGCACCACATAAGCAAAAATAAAAAAGCCAGAAGTGGCGCTGTGGCTCAAGTGGTAGAGTGCTAGCCTTGAGCTGAAGAGCTGAGGGACAGCACCCAGGCCCAGAGTTCAGGCCCCACAACTGGACCCCCCCCCCCCCCAAAAAAAAGGAAGTGGTGCTGTGGCTCAAGTGGTAGAGTGCTCTCCTTGAGCTGAAGAGCACAGGGACAGTGCCCAGGCCCAGAGTTCAAGCCCCATGACCAAAAAAAAAAAAAAGACCATATCAAATATTTGCTTTGTAACTTTGAAAACTATTTTCAATATCCTCATATGAAAACAAAACAAAACAAAAAAACAGGCTGGAGTTGGGCACTGGTGGCTCACACCTGTAATCGTACTCAGGAGGCTGAGATATGAGGATTACGGTTCAAAGCCAGCCTGGGCAAGAAAGTCCAGGAGACTCTTATCTCCAATTAACCACCAGAAAACCGGAAGTGATGCTGTGGCTCAAGTGGTAGAGCACTAGCCTTGAGCTGAAGAGCTCAGGGACAGCGCCTAGGCCCAGAGTTCAAGCCCCAGGACCAAAAAAACAAAAACAACAAAAAACACCACCCAAAACAAACAACAACAACAACAAAAACAGGCTGGGAATGTGGCTTAGTGGTAGAGTGCTTGTCTAGCATGCATGAAGCTCTGGGTTCCATTCCTCTGTACCACAGAAACAAAAAAGCCAGAAGTGGCGCTGTAGCTCAAATGGTAGAGTGCTAGCCTTGAGCAAAAGAAGGTCAGGGACAGTGCCCAGGCCCTGAGTTCAAGTCCCAGGACTGGCAAAAAAATAAATAAATTCAGGGACAGTTCAAGCCCCAGGATTGACACCAAAACAAAAAAGAGAAAAAGGAAAAAAATGCTAATGTAAGACCCCTACAGTCAAAATAAATTAGAAAAAAAAGTTTAAACTAGAGTTTGAAACTTTATAAAATAGCAAGACAGAAGGACATTGTAGAAAATATATACATTGATAAAAGGAAGGAAGCAGTTACTTTTTGTCCAAAAATTAGCATTAGATACCCATATGTAAGAGTTTTGATGCGCTAAAGTATTCTTTTCAACAAACAGTGCTAGAATAATTGAGTATACAAGGGTAATATAATGCACTTGAAGGGTTGGGGATTTAGCTCAGTGGAAGAACAGTTGCCTGGCAAGTGCAAGGCCCTGAGCTAGGTCCTTAGCTCTAGGGGGCAGGGAACTATAAAAGACCATGAACTTGGGCTGGGAAGGTGGCTCAGTGGTAGAGTGCTTGCCTTGCATGCATGAGGCCCTGGGTTTGATTCCTCAGCGCCACATAAGCAGAAAAAGCCGGAAGTGGTGCTGTGGCTCAAGTGGTAGAGCATTAGCCTTGAGATGAAGAGCTGAGAGACAGCATTCAGGCCCAGAGTTCAGGCCCCACAATTGACAAAAAGAAAGAAAAAAGAAAAAAAAGACTATGAACTTGACCCTTACCTCATTACCATATGCAATATTTACCTCTAAAAAGATTCTTGGCCTAAATGTAAGAGCTTAAAACTATAAAATTCTCAAAGAAAACAGGAGGTATATTTGTTAACTTAGTAACATCTTAGGACAGTGTGTGTGTGTGTGTGTGTGTGTGTGTGTTTTGTTTTTTGTCAGTCATGGGGCTTGAACTCTGGGCTTGAGTGCTGTCCCTTAGCTCTTTAGCTCAAGGCTAGCACTCTACCATTTCAGCCACAGGGCCACTTCTGGTTTTCTGGTGTTTTATTGGAGATAAGAGTTTCTGGGCTGGATTTAAACTGTGATCCTCAGATCTCAGCCTCCTGAGTAATATATATATATATATATATCATGTATGCAGAATGTGTTAAGAACTTTTACAACCCAACAATAATCCAACTGTTTAAAAAGTTCAGATTTGGAACTTTGGAGGTATGGCTCAAGTGTTAGAGCACCAGCCTTGAGTGAAAAAAGCCAAGTGAGAGTTTGAGGCCCAGAGTTCAAAGCTCCAGCACACACATAAATATTCAAATTTGTTTTTTTTTTTCGGTCCGGTTGTGGGGCCTGAACTCTGGGCCTGGGCGCTGTCCCTCAGCCCTTCAGCTCAAGGCTAGCGCTCTACCACTTGAGCCACAGCGCCACTTCTGGCTTTTTTCTTTTTGCTTTTGTGGTGCTGAGGAATCGAACCCAGGGCCTCAGGCATGCAAGGCAAGTGCTCTACCACTGAGCCACCTTCCCAGCCCCTAAATATTCAAATTTGAACATATTTTACCAAAGGGAATAACAGAAATAAACCTGTGAAGGCATGTAAATTAAAGTGGCACAAGGTCCCAGTATGCAGCCATTAGAATGTTTCAGTTAAGGTTTTAGAGCAGGTCACAGATGATGACAGACGTGTGCATGGCAGCGGGATCACCATGGTGACTGGACGCCCCCTGGTGGCTGCCAGATGTAAAGGCTGGGAGGGGAAAGACTGCAAAAGAACACAGGAAGTTATGGAGTGGCAGATAAATTCACCATGTTAATTGTGAAGGCGTTTAACACAACTGCAAATATTTGCCCAAACTTAATTGTCTACTTCACACCAGTGGATTTTACTGGATCTAAACTCTTCTGTGTGTGTGCCGACACTGGGACTTGAACTCAAGGTTTGTGTGCTGTCCCAGAGTTGATCTCTCTCTTTCTCTCTCTCTCTCTCTCCCCCTCTCTCTCACAACTGATACTGTAGTGCTTGAACTAAGCTTCCTCTTCTGGATTTTTTGCTGGTTAGTTGGACATCAGGGCTCTCAATTTTTTTTTCTTGCCAGTCCTGGGGCTTAAACTGAGGGCCTGGGCACTGCCCCTGAGCTGCTTTTGCTCAAGGCTAGCACACTACCACTTTGAATCATAGCTCCACCTACAACCTTTTCTCTGTGTGTGGTACTGAGGAATTGAACACAGGGCCTCATGCATGCTAGGCAAGCATTCTACCACTAAGCCACATTCCCAACGCAGTCTCTCAAGTTGTTCTAAGGTTGGTTTCAAACCTCAATTCTCAAATCACAGCCAGCTGAGTGGTTAGGATTATAGGCATGAGCCACAAATGGTGTGTGGGGGGGGGGGGCGCCCAGCTTTGCATTCCATAGAACAGAATCTAGAATGTAAAATTGAACTTCGAAGCATCAGCTCCACTGCCTGCACGAGGCACTCTGAGCGTGAGCAGAGCTCCCCTGCTCCCACACAGCAGTGCTGTGTGATTGGTCCCTGGGTGTGGGTGCAGCAGCGGGTGGGTCTCAACTGCAGTCCCCCAAGATGGCTCATTCCCACCTGCAGAGTCAGTGGCCTCAGTGTGGCGTGGTGCTGGACCTCTCTGCGTTTTGCCCTTTCAGGTGTTGAGGAGGGCAGTTAGCAGAGGTTTTCTGGAAACCAAAGGGTCATGTGACAGAATGTCACTTGGCTAACATGGACACCACCACCACACAGCAAGAGGATCAGCCTGCCAAACAGCCGAGGCGTGTCTTACAGAAAGGTCTGGTGAACGCAAATCACACGTGTGCATGTTGTGTGTAATCGCGTGTGGAAGAAGAGTATCCCCGGCCTACATTCAGGAGTCAGTGGGAATGGAGTAAATCAGGGGAGGGAGAATGCCTGAGGATTGTCCCCCCCAAAAAAATGGTTGAGGGGGGAATGGGAGCATCTCTTAGACAACAAAAAAAGCAGACTTGTGATTTCCATGTATCTGGCAAGAATAGCAGTTGTGTGTGTGTGTGTGTGTGTGTGTATGTGTAGCTACTAGGCTTGAACTCAGGGTCTGGTTGCTGTTCCTTAACCTTCCCCTTCAAGGCTGGCACTTTACCACTTGAGTGGGATTTCTTCTACCCCTCTCCATCTTCATGATGCTTGACTGACAGCTGAGGAAAGTGGGTACTGGCTCCGCCCTCTGCCTGCTCCTCCAGGCTGTCATCCTATTCCTGAGACTGAAGGGGCTTCAGTGTGTTCACTGCTGCTAGACGGCAGGGGTGCGGGGGATAACCCCCAGAACTTATTACAAGGAAAAGAAAAAGAAATGGGAGCGTGTTGGTTTTTTTCTAATTGGGTTTCATGTTTATCACTTGTCAAAATGCAAGTTTCTCTTCTGTTTAAGGTTTTACTGCTGCGTATCCAACACAGTCTTCCATTCCTTCTAAAGTCCAATTTGCAGTACCTCCTGAAACAGAGAAGAAAGGATTTAATGTGAAAGCAAAGAGATTTTATCACAAAAAGGTAAGGGCATTGTTCTTTTTGTCTGGATTGTAGCCTCGTGAGACAAGCTGTTCTGTCTCTCTACGAACAGTAGAGGGCAGTGGTGTCCCCAGGGATCCATGGCTGCCTCCAACTAGGTGCAGGGCAATACTGGAGTAGAACTCAGGCTCTGCATTTGCTAGCATGGTGCTTAATGGATATTTCAGCCAAGGAAACCTAAGGTGTCAAAAACAGGGAATACTGTGTGTGTGTGTGTGTGTCTATATATTTAGATTAGGGGTCTCTATGTAGCCCAGGCTGGCCTCAAATTCAAATTCTTCCTGCCTCAGTTTCTTAAATGCAGAGATTACAGACATATACTGACATGCCCTGATTTAAAAAAATTCCTTCTATCTGTCTGTCTAATCTATCTAATGTTTATAGAATATAACAATATACTATATATAATATATTTTAAATATAAATATATATACAATAATGAGAATATAAAGTCCTCCAATTCTATATGTATCAAGTAGAAAGTAATTCTTTCAGCACAAGAGGAAATTACCCGATTTTCTTCAAATAACACAAAGTAAAAAAGAACTAATATTAGAATTACCTTTATGATGAGGAAAAACTCTTGGAAAAACTTCCTTAAGCAATGTCTTATTACTCCTGTTTGCATTCTCTCCATCCACACCTCCTTGCTCAGATCTCTGCCACTGTTCCCTTCTGATCTACAAGGGCCTTAGCCAGGCCTTAATTTAATTTGGCATCTCTGGGGTCTGACCTTCTCTCTCACCAGCAGGGGGCAGAAGAAACTTGCCAGTGTCTTTAGAGTCTAAAATTTTCATCCTCCGTCTAAGGAAGTCCTAGAGAACAGCACTCCTTTGGATCTGTGTCTGCCTCAGTTACCTTTTGCTGACCCCTTCCACCTTGTCAGGGGGCAAAGGGTCCTGAACACAGATGAGGCATGATGTTGGAGCCTTGGCAGTTCCCCTCTACCCTTGGCCTGGAGCCTGCTGGTGGGCAAGAATACCCAACAGGAGGATGCTTTAAGTTACTTGAGCTTCTGTCTGGTGCTTTCCAGATCTAAGAAGCAAACACTAGAGAATATAGTGTTCACACACACACACACACACACACACACACACACACACACACGATTTTTAAATCATTTGTAGGTTTCCCCAAGGATGCTAAATATTTGTTTAGACATTTCTCTACTTTCTTTAGTCTTCCCTAGTTTAATTGGTAGCCTCTCCCCCATTTCCTCCCTGCTTTTTCATTTATCAATTTGATGCTAAGCTGCTTTCTGCCTTCAGAGTCTCCGCAGCCCAGCTTCCAATCAAAAGAATGGCAGTCACCACTTACTGATGGATCCCCCCCCCACCCCACCCCCCACACACCCTGTGCCAAGCATTTGTGGGTTGCACTATGCAAAGAGGAAGGGTTCATTGTCCAAATTTAACAGAAGAGGAAATGGAGGCTTAGGGGCGCTAAGTGGTCCACCCACTGTCACCTAACAGCAGGTTTGCCACATAAGAGACTCTAAATAAATCACTGCTGAATCAACATCGAAAGAATTAGACCTCAGCCCAGGCTTAGCTTTCTGTAAATCTTGTACTGTATCCACACCGCGCCACACCTGCCTTTGTGACCCACAAAGCTACACCTTTGGTTGATGACAGCCAGCCCTGGCGAAACAGACCGAGTTCCATTCTGAAGACTCAGGTCCAGAAACTGAAAGTTGGCATTTAAAATACTAACATTTTCCCCTCCCCAAAGGAGCCAGGGTGGCACCCAGCCATATCTATAGGCAGCATCAAATAAAAACTGTTCAGAAGTCTTATTCCAGCTTTTCAAATGTGGTTGCATTCATTTGAAAATGAGAGAAGCCTCTATTTAAGTATTTTAAAACATTTTGTTTAAAAAACAAAAACAAAAACACTCCTTTTTTCGGTTGTGGGTCTTGAACTCTGGGCCTGGGTGCTATCCCTGAACTCTTTAGCTCAAGGTGAGCGCTTTACCACTGGAGCCACAGCGCTACTTCGGGTTTTCTAAGTAGTTTATTGGAGATAAGAGTTTCATGGGCTTTCCTGCTCAGGCTGGCTTTGAACCTCGATCCTCAGATCTCAGCCTCCTGAGTAGCTAGGATTACAGGCATGAGCCACTGGTGCCTGGCAACATTGTTTAAAGAATGGAATTTCATGGAAGGGATGTTGGGACCCACAGATCCAAGTTCCCAGTGGTGTTTTATTCTCTCTGTAACTGGGAACCTTTAGGTCAGCCACGTGACTTTCCTGTGTGCCAGTTTGCTTATGTGAAACCTCAGATTTGCATTATATAATTTCTAAGGTCTCAAGTCATAAAGGCAGGAAAATGAGGCCTTGCTCCATGCTCTTATTTTTCCTGAGGGAGATGAGCTTCGAGAAGTTAGAGCCACCACCTAGTGATTTCATAAGATAACACAAATTAGCAACAGCCTCTAGATCTCCTTACCGCCCTTCTGGAAGCCAGAACCTCCAACAGCCTGCCCCTCAGTGACCCATGTGATCCCTGGGAACCTGTGCCCCTGGGACTCCCATTCACCTTCCCTGCTGGGCACCACAGACCTTTCCAGATCTCAGTGTCTGGACAGGCAATTTGGGCTGCTAGAAGGAAAACATCCTAAAAGTGTTTATATACATATATATATAATTGTACATATAATAATTATATATAATTATTTACCAGTCTGTGGGCTACTTTACCTTCATGGTGTTGGACAGGGTACAGCCCCCAAGCCTGCTGGACATTTTCTCTCTACCTCCCAGATTCTGTCCCTGAGTTGTGGTCATGGATTCCTGGGCTGTGTATAGCCCTAAGGACCTTGACATATGGTGTCTTTGCATCTCTTTCCTCTTCTTCAAAATGGCAGTATCAGCCTAGCCAATGCTAGACAATTGCTAGACAATGCAAAGATCCTATAGTGCATTTGCTCCAACTCTGGTGGTGTAATCTGTTCTTCCCAAGTCCATGATACTAGAGTGAACATGAGCTATACTCCCTGTGTGTCCCCCACAGTTTTTGTTTTTTGTTTTTTTTTTCCCCCAGACCTGGGGCTTGAACTCAGGGCCTGACACTGTTCCTGAGTTTCTTTTGCTCAAGGCTAGAACTGTACTGATTGAGCCAAAGCACCACTTCTGGCTTTTTCTGTTTATGTGATACTGAGGAATGGAACCCAGGGCTTCATGCTAGGCAAGCACTCCACTACTAAGCCACCTTCCCAGCCCTCCTCCACAGTTTTTTTTTTTTTTTGTTGTTGTTGTTTGTTTTGGTCAGTCATGGGGCTTGAACTCTAGGACTGAGCTCTACCACTTGAGCCACAGCACCACTTCTGGTTTTCTGGTGGTTAATTGGAGATAAGAGTCTCACAGTCTTTCCTGCCCAGGCTGGCTTTGAACTGCAATCCTCAGATCTCAGCCGCCTGAGTAGCTAGGATTACAGGCGTGAGCCAGTGGTGCCCGGCTCCTCCAGAGTTTTGACACAGCTCCACCAGCCCCTTTATGAGCAGCTGAGAGGCTCTGCTCCCTGCCCCTGCCCCCAGCAGGGCTCTGGTGCACTGCGGGCGGTCCATGGATGTCCGTGGAGCTGAATCTTCACCCACGTCCCACTTGGAGAGTGGAGAGTCTCATGGGGCTACTGAAGAAAGAGAGGGGGGACCCTGGGAAACAGTCTCACCGCTGCTCTCCCAGGTGAGCAGGCCTGCTTTTGACTCATGTTGCTGCTCCGTCTGCTGAGCTGATTATATTTTTGACCTAGAAAGGCCAACAGTGGGCAAAGACCAGGTCCCCGTTTGTCTCTGCCAGGGTCCCAGTCTCCCCATTTCCCCCTTACTTCCTCTCCCTGGAAGTGCTATCTCCCTCTCCCTCTGTCTCGGCCTCCTGTCCCTGGCTTAATCTCAGATGGTTGAACCCAAGGGCCCGTACAGGAGTACTGAGGCTGGGAGGGCCGGAGCCTTGGGGGGCATTGCCAGCCCTCCGGCCTTGTGGCTAGTACTCCCATGACTTTAGGAAAGCCATGTAGGGCTGAAGAAGTCACTGGGGCAGGTGGGTGCCTGCTCCTAAGACACCCTAAGACTAAAGCACAGGGAGGAGCGCGTTCATAGGAAAGAAAACGCTTCCATGAATCAGTGATTTGATACACACGAAAGGACTGACAACAACGCTTCTGAATCAGGGCAAAAACGAGTGTGTCTGAAGCTGAGCCTGGCTCCAGGCTGCACCCTGTGAAATCTCCCCTAGCCTGTGAGGGACCTGGGGGTGGGGTGGTCAAGCTCTTCTCCCCTTTTTGTGCCATTTCTGGGGCTTGAACTCAGTGCCTAGGTGCTATCCTTTAGTTTTTTTCACTCAAGGCTGGTGCTTTACCATTTCAGCCACAGTCTCACTTCCAGATTTTGGGGTGAGTCATTGGAGATAAGAATTTCACAAAGCCTAGTACCAGTGGCTCACACCTGTAATCCTAGCTACTCAGGAGGCTGAGATCTGAGGACTGCAGTTCAAAGCCACCTGGGGCAGGACACGCCGTGAGACTCTTATCTCCAATAAACCACCAGAAAACCAGAAGTAGTGCTGTGGCTCAAGCGGTAGAGCACTCGCCTTGAGCTGAAGAGCTGAGGGACAGCGCCCAAGCCCAGAGTTCAATCAAGCCCTACGACCAACCAAAAAAAAAAAGTTTCACAGAGTTTCCTATCTGGGCTGGTTTCAAATCTCCATGCTCAGATCTGAGCTTCCTGAGTAGCTGGGATTACAGGTGAGCCCCTGGCACCTGGTCAAGACCCTTCCCCCTCCCTTCTTACTTCTTCCAGCCTGTGAGATTGGGTGGCTGTAGGTCATTGTTGCACTCTTGGGCCTATGCAGAGGCTGCCCACCCGGGACTCAAATCCTGATGAGTTCTCAGAGTGCACTTGATCCAAATGGAGCCAGGTTGTACACACCTGGCCGGGGGAGGGGGTGGGGAGGTGGGAAGGGGGGGGGGGTCTCACCCTTTTCTATGGCTCATTTTGAAGGTCTTTGCCTGTGTGGAGAGGTGGGTGCATTCCTGGCTCCATGAGGCTGTTGAAGGCAATGCAGTGAGTATGAGCAGGATGGCAGTGGTCACCCGGCTTCATATGCATCTGTTCATGTAATGGAGGCTGGGAGGCCAGTGGAGGCGGCAGGCCCCACGGGGATTCCATGGATCCCACTTGAGCTGGTCACCAGCTCTAATCCATAATCCATATGACTTCTCTGCTTCCCCTCCCCCCCCCACCTCCGTTTTGGTGTTATTTGATCCTTACCATCTGAGGTGATCTCAGCCAAGACATACCAATCCCAACCTGGATCCTTGACCTCTGGGATGTTCTTTGAGAGGTGTAAACTCACCCCTGCCGCTAGTCACATGACGCTCACCGTGTGAGTTGTTATCCCTCCAGAGAAAAGTCTTCCCCACGCTTCTCCAAGCTGCAGGAGCAGGGCTGAGTTGTCCGCAGTGGGATTTAACTCCTGGATTAAGTTAGATTAACTACTGGATATGTGCCTCCTTTTCTCTTGAAGTATAATAAGCCTTTCAAATACCCACTTGGGTATTTCATGAGGTTAACCAGCTGCGGCTCCCAGCTGTAGCTTTGGCCAATGGCCAATGGTAGGTGACCACTAGCAAAACTTATTTCCAGCAGTTCCTTCGCATGCTGCTTGCTGCAGCCTAAGGAGCCCTCTTTGGATATGCATGAAGAGCCACAAGCGGCACTTGCTTCCTGCAGGCTTCGTGGTGACAGGCCTTTCTGCCTGTTTGCTTCAGACTTGGGCCAGCTCACAGTGTGGCAGTTAAAATACGGTGGGGGCCCAGTGGGGTTGTTGGATTTAGCAAATTAAAAAAAAAAAAGTACATGAGGTTAATTTGAATTAGAATTCCAGGTAGATATAATCTATTTTAGCCTAAGTATGTCCCAAATATATCACAGGATATACTTATACTAGACCAAGTATTTGTGGTTCATCTGCTATTCTAATGTAACTGGGAAAGGTCCCGACCATTATCCTAGGCATCCACGTGCCCAGAAATTCCTGGGAGCAAATGGCAGGCTTGAGTGTATGGGGACAGATCAAGGGCTTAGAGATCTAGGTCTTCTCTGCCCATGGCTTATACCTCAAAGAGGCACATGTACCATTCCTATGACAATCATCCTTAAACTTAGGGACTGTGGAAGCTCAGCGATATTCCAGGGGCCCACATATTGGATTTACAAGCAAGGAAACTGAGGCCCCAACAGAATTCCTGATTCATAACCCAGTGAGATATTTTTTTTTTCTTTCATCCTATATGATCTCATCTGTTAGTTTGGTTCTGTGGTTAGGAGTAGGCCCTGGGGCCAGGTGTGGTGGTACACGCCTGTAATTCCAGCTAGGTAGGAGGATGAGGGCTCTGAGACCAGCCTGGGCAAAAAGCTGGAGACCTTATCTGAGAAACAAACAAAAAGTAAAAAAGGTTGGGATAAAGTTCAAGTGGCAGAGCACTTGCTTTTCAAGCTCCGGTCCCTGAGTTCAATCCCTAATAACACTTGAATGGATGGATGGATGGATGAATCAATCAATCAATCAATGAATAATATTAGACTTTGTAGTCAGACTGCCTGACATTTACTAGTGGAATGACCTTGGATCTTCTCATCTCTAAAACAAACTGTGCTAGGCGTAGAGCCTGGGAAAAAGTGGGCACACAGAAACCACCGCTTACAGGCTCACACCTGTAATCCTAGCTGCTCAGGAGACTGAGATCTGGAAGATTATGGTTTGAGACTAGTCTGGGCAGAAAAGTCCATGAGACTTGTATCTTCAATTAACTAGCAAAAAGCAGGGCTTGGAGGTATGGCCCAAGTAGTAGAGTACCAGCGATAAGCAAAAAAACTGAGTGAGCACAGGGCTCTGAGTTCAAACCTCAGTATTAATTAAAAAAAAAAAAAAAAAAAGGAGGGAAGGAAAAGGAAGAGAGGGAAGGAGGGAGGAAGGAAGGTCCTTTTCTCCCATGGATCTTCACATCAGCACCCATAACACCAGGGTTCTGGCTCTAGTGGGCCTTCCTGCTGGCCATCCCAGGTCCCTGGAAGGCAGCTTCTGCCCACCAGCAACTGTGGTCACCCATAGCACAGGACCCAGCTCTCCTGATCCCACCCACCAGAATGGTGATCTGCCCCAGCCAGAATGGAAAGTTCTGGAAGGCGCTGGCGATGGCCCAAGCTTGCTTTCTGCCCCTAAAGAAGCCAGTAGGAGCGGTAGAGACAAGATGCGCTTAGATGACAGATTGGAGTCAACCAGGGCTAAAGCCAGGCTTCCTGAATGCAAATCCAAGGTTCACCTCTTCTAGTTGGTGGAGGTGGGGGGGGGGTTCTAGTTCTGGGCCTCAGTTTCCTTTAAGTGGTAACACTCCCACGGCCCAGGGCTTGGTGTGTGAAGGGGATGGGACCCCATGCATCAGGTTCTGCCCGCTTACAGCAGTAGGATAGGGAATAGACTGGTCTGCCCTAAACTGAGGGTGGCAGTTTGGGTGATGGCCCAAACAAGACAAGTTTTGACAGGCTTGGCCTGGCACCAAGGTGGGCCCGTGAGCTCGGGAGGCCCTGAAGAACCTTCATTATTTCATGCCACTTGTTGACCAACTTCCGTTGCCAATGTCCCCCTGGGAACTACCGAGGAAGATGGGGTGGGTGTCCAGTGTACTGCGGCAGCACATGCTGCTCTGCGAGCAGCTCCTGCCAGTCCCGCCTAGCGCAGCGTCCTGGCTCACCGAGCACGCAGGCCCGTGGGCCGGCCCCATTTGGATGAAGGTTGTTATTTCATTTTGCTTTATAAACAGAAACACTCCCTTGCAGTCTCTGCGGCCAAGAAGGAAGCTGAGTCAGGTGGGGTGTGGTTAATACACTGATCCGTCACCCTTCCCTTCCCCAGGGCTCGGCTGGCCCAAAGCCGGCCACGCTGGTGTGCACGGCAGCCACACTTTTTAATGCTCATTTTCCTAATGACACAAATAAACAACAGTGTTCTGGTATGTGGGACAGTGTAGTGGAAAGAGCCAGGGCTTTCCTTGGCAGCCTGGGCCTGGGGAGGAATTCCGGCTCCACCATCTGGTGGGAAGCCGCGCTGTCAGCTCTGGTGGCATGACAGGTGCCTGTCTGAGCCGTGGGATTTCAGACTTAGTGTGAAGCACGCTGGAACTGCATACATGCCTGATGCCGCCTTCTCTTCCCGTCCAGGATGACAGCCCGGGTCCTGGGTTCTACAATGTCATCCACCAGTCTCCTGTCTCCAACAGTGTCTCGCTGTCCAAGAAAGGCACATGCGCTTTTCCTTCCATGGTGAGAGCCCTCCTCTGGAGTAAGGTGGTAGTTTCCTCCATAGCCATAGGTTGGCCATCTGGGCCATTCTCTCGCGGGGTCTGTGTGGTCCTGATGAAGACCCAGTCCCCACCTCAGATCTCACGTAGGTAAACAGGGCCCTGTGGTGCTAAGCTGTATTATCGTCCCCCTCCCCCACCCCCCGTGATGCCCAAGAGCAGCTCAGGGATATTCAGACCCTGCCATCCAAACCCCGGTGTGACCACCCAGCTTACCAGGCCAGCAAGATAGTCTTCTCCCATGTGTGGCACCAAAATGATTTGTTTTTCTAGTTCTGAGACTTGAACTCTGGGTCTGGGCATGTCCTTGAGGGTTTTTTTTGTTTGTTTGTTTAGTTTTGGTTTTTTGCTTAAGGCTAGCACACTACCACTTGAGCTACAGCTCCAGGGTTTTTTTTGGTTGGTTAATTGGAAATAAGAGTCTCATGGATTTTTCTGCCTGGGCTGGCTTCAAACCATGATCCTCAGATCTCAGCCTCCTGGGTAGCTAGGATTATAGGTACGAGCCATGACACCAAGCTCCACAATGATTTTTATACTTGTGTAAAGTAATTGGGTTACACAAGTGATTGAGAAGAAGATGGAAGTGAAAAGAAAAGTAAGCTTTGCACCTGAATTATTCCCTGTGGGGGCTTTGTTCCCTGATGGTGCTAGTAATTAGATAGCTGCAGGAGGAGGTGACCCTGGCCCTGGCTTTGTGTGTGTGTGCGCGCGCACGTGTGCACATTCATGTGCAAGATTAGAACTCAGGGCTTCCAGCATGCTAGGCAAAAACGTCCCAGTGAGCCACAGCCTCAGCCTGGTAGTCCTTTTCTTGACAGGGAAAAGAGCCAAACTAAGGAAGAAAAGAGAGAAAGAAGGCAAAGCCAGACTCAAACAGTCACAAAGCATATGTGCCTCCTTTTCTCTTTAAGTATAATAAGCCTTTCAAATAGATTTATTACGATGCCTGACATAGAAATTCACACACGTGCATGCGCATGTGTATATACACACATACACACGCACATGCGCATGCACATATTTTTGTTCCAGTACCAAGGCTTTAACTCAGGACCTTAAGCTTCCACTTGGCATTTCCATTCAAGGCTGGTACTCTTCCACTTGAGCCACACCTCCTCTCCTGGCTTTTGCTGGTTACTTGGAGGTAAGAATCTCCTGGGTTTGTCAATCTAATCTGTCTTCAAACTGTGATCTTCCTATCTCAGCCTCCTGAGTAGCTAGAATTACAGGCGTGAACCACTAGCACCCGGTTGAAATTGAAATTGTAAAACTACACAAATGAACTATTTAACATACACTGAGTGTAGCTGCTCTGTATTGGACGCTGACTTGGGCAGAGTCGTATTCAAGGTCAAACAGGGCTTGCAGTTCACCCAAGGTTGCATGTGCCCCAAGCAAGTTCACAGGGCAGACGGGCCTCCAGCCAACTTTCTGCCCCGGCCCCTCACCCCTCGCTAGAGAAAAACACCCAGAAGCAATCTGGGAAAAGAAGTGTCGTTTCCCAGTGCGGGCCTAGGAGGAGAGACTCACGCTGTGGCCTGAGTCAGCGGTGGCGGCTCACTGTGCCCAGGCGCACGTCCCCCTCCGTTCTGGTTGCCTCATAAAGCGGAGACTCCCTGGAGGCACTCCGTAAATCGCAGTGAGTCAAACACTCTGTGAAACTGCAAAACATGATAAACATGACAGCCTTGTCCAGTGGCGGACGGCTCCTCTGCCCGTGATGTGGAGCCGTTGGAGGGAGCCGCACGGTCCCTGTCCTGCCAGGCTTTACCTGCAGCCGCTTTGCAAGTTCCAAGGCTGGGCCATTTGGGGAAAGGGGACTCAAGAGGAGACTGGAGTACAATTGAGGCTAATCAGGCCCCTTAGGTCTTTAGAAAAAGAAAAATTCTGCCAGGTGCCAGTCGCTCACACCTGTAACCCTAGCTGCTCAGGAGAGTGAGATCTGAGGATCACAGTTCAAAGCCAGCTCTAGACTCTTCTCACTGGATAATCATGTTCGGTGATATATACTTGTTAACCCACCTCTGAGGGGCGTTATGATCAGGAGGGCTGTGATTCCAGGCCAGCTAGCGCAAAAAAAGTTTGAGAGTCTAACTGAAAAGAAGGCAGGCATGGTGGTACAGGCCTGTCATTCCAACTCAGGACCCCTAGGGGGAGGGCAGTCCAGGTAAGTGCCTGGCAAAAGGTGAGACCCTATCTCAGAATAACCCGTACCAAAGAAGGGCTAGCAGCGTGGCTTAATGGCAGGAGCATGAGACCCTGAGTTCAAATTCCAGTACTGCTAAAAAAATATTAGAACCATCGGGCTGAGAAGGTGGCTCAGTGGTAGAGCGCTTGCCTTGAGCTGAAGAGCTGAGGGACAGCGCCCAGGCCCAGAGTTCAGGCCCCAAAACTGGACCCCCCCAAAAAATATATATATATTAGAACCAACTTCAGAAGAAGGGAGCCCCTGATCTGCCCTCCCTCCTATAGCTCTGGAACTTCAGGTTTGTATTTCTAGACACTGAATTTCTTACATCACTGGGCAGAGGCCTGAAGTGGTTGGTCAGATCTGGTAGGAGATGCCCACATCTGGCCTATTTCCTTTCTGACCCGGAAGAAAATGCCATTCTCCACGCCTTTCCTAGTGACTTTCACGTTTAGCACCTTCTCCATGTCCACATCCCATTGTCTCAGAGAATTAAAGCACCAGACAGAAATCCCGATGGTCAGAGGGTTATGGTTACAGGGTGAGGCTGACCAAGAAACTCCAAGGCCCTATAAATCTCCGAAACTTCCTCATGGCTGTCAGTAGAGCTACACCCAGCCTTTTGAGAGGACCTGTCATCTCTCTAAGCCCAAATGATAGAAAGCACCTCGTGAATATAACTTCCAGATCCTTCCTCCGGGATTTTTCACAGGACTCCCTGGGAGGAGGCCGAGGGAGGCAGGTGGGAGGGGGCTTGGGAGGCCCTCCTCCATGTCCTTGGTGGCAGGCGTGGGCCTGGAGATGTTCACACGAGCCAGAAAGAGGTTCATAAATGCCCGTGTGTGGCCAGGCTGGAGACCACAGGTTTGGCAGGCACACCAGGGTGGGGTGTGTGGGTGAGTGAGTGTGGCTTTGGCTGTCTTCTGAAACGAATCCTATTACAGCATCTGATGTAACTGCTATGACTGGGGAATTTTGTTAAACATTTTCCCCCCTAAATAAATAATTCTTTTAAGGCAAAAAAAAAAAAAAAAAGTCACAGTTGGCATTTGGGACTCACACCTGTAATCCTAGCTACTCAGGAGGCTGAGATCTGGAGGATCTAGATTTGAAGCCCACTAGGACAGAAAGGTCATGAGATTCGAATCTCCAATTAACTACCAAACAAGCCAGAAGTTGGAGGTATGCCTTAAGTGGTAGAGCACTAGCCTTGAGTGCAAAAGTGAACTCGAGCCCTAGTGCTGGTGTGCACGCGCATGCACACACACATGTACACCCACAACTTTCATGATGGAAAAAGGTTTCTGTGGTCCAGGGCCATGCCTCTGCTTTGTTACCACTGCAGGGTGGAGGCAAGCTGCCCGGCTGAGAGAGTTGCCAATACCACTTTACCCGCAAAAGCTCAGTTTCCTCATCTGAAAAGCAGAGTTCATTATAACACCCACCACACGGGGTGGCCATGAAAATCAAACGCAGCAAAAACACTTGGAAAACAGTTGGTCAAAAGAGCAAAGGCAAGGCACCTACCAGCGTGGGAACAAATCCTGGCCGTGAGAAGGAGGCCAGGTTGGGACTGGAACCCAGGTTGGGCCCAGGTTGGGCCCAGGCTGAGGACACTCCTCTGCGGTGAGCCCTCGCCTACCATATACCCTCCCCCCACCCCCGTGGGTGTCCACAGAGCAGGCCAGACCGTCGCCAGAGAGCACAGAGCAGAGTGGGGTGGGGGACCAGCGCCCTCTCTCAGCCCCCCACCTCCCCGTGTTCATCTCGTTCCTGATCCCTGTCCAGGGCGATGTTCCCAAGCTTGAAGTCCCAGGCTGTGATGGCACATTTTCTTGTGCTTTCTCCGACTCCAGTGCCAGCCACACACTCTGTGGGCGAGGTGATGTTATCACGCCAGTTTCAATGGCTTTTGTCCCCATTCACCTGGCAAACATTGATTCTGTTTGTCTTTTAGCTGAGCATAGTTTAGCATGGTGTTGGTTGCGTTGAAATGGCATACTCATTGTATGGTTTCATGGAAATGGTCATGGGGGGGCGGAGGCGGTGGCCAGAGTACACTGGGCAGCCCCAGGCCTTTAAGATGTTCTGAGGGTTGCTCTGAGAGGCAAGGCAGGAGGGTTCCCTCAGAAGAGGGTTTGGGTTGAGAGATCAGGGTCGGGGTGAAAGTCTAAATTATTCCCTTAACTGGGCACCAGTGGCTTATACCTGTAATCCTAGCTACTCAGGGCTGAGATCTAAGGACCATGGTTCAAAGCCAGCCCAGGCAGAAAAGTCCCGTGAGACTCTTTATCTCCAATTAACCACTCAAAAACCAGAAGTGGAGCTGTGGCTTAAAGTGGTAGAGCACTAGCCTTGTGCAAAACAGCTCAAGGACAGCACCCAGGCCTTGTGATCAAGCCCCACAACTGCCCAAAACAAAACAAGAGCTCAGGGACAGAGCCCAGGCCATGAGTTCAAGCCCCACAACCATCACCACCACTAATAACAAAATTCCCTTGAATAAATTACCCAGCAGCTGCAAGGTCAAGTGTAATTGGGTGGAAATGCATTAATTGCAAAATTATTTCAGAAGCAGAATAACCTGAAGTAGTTTACACAAGTCAAAGTAGGCCTGAACTTGCAGAGGTCCATCTATCTTCATGATGCGCTCAGCTTCACCTTTCAGAGAGTTCCCGAGGTCCTGGTATGGGGCCCACCTCTCAGCTGTCTCTTCACCCCTAACACAGCCTCCTTTGCTTTCCTCCTCCAGTGTGCCAGGCTGAAGACCATTATTTCTAAGTATCCTGCAGCAAATGCATACACCCTCCCGTCAGAGTTTGTATCGAAGAAAGACTTCAGCACTTCTTGCTCTAGCATGTTCCAACTGCCAAGCTTCATGAAAGCGCTCAAATTTGAAACTCCTGCACCAAACTACTATAATGTAAGAACAGCCTATGCCTGCTGCATGAATGCATGCATGAGTATAGTTGACTGGAAGCAGGGAAGGGGTTGGGGGCAGGAACAGCTTCTGAATGTAGCGGGGCAGGCAGCGAGGATCACTGCCTACTTAATGGTGCCTAAGGCCAGGAGAGAATCTTGTAGGGAATTTCAGAACCCAGAGAGAAACAGAGGCCAGCGGAGAGCAGCAGGAAGCCCAGTGCTCTGGGTAGCGCTCAGGGCAAGCTCTCCTGTCCCAGCCCTGCTCAGCTTTCTCATCTGTAACAGTGGGACAGTGCTCCACATCTTACCTGCAGACATTGCTCCTTATTAGTTTTGTGTCTATATGTATGTGTGTGTGTGTGTTTGTGTATACATGTTCGTGCATATGTGTGGGCCATTAATAGGGCTTGAACTCAGGGCCTGGGTGCTGTCCCTGAGCCATTTCACTCATGGATAGTGCTGTATCATCACTTGAGCCACAGCCCCACTTCTGGATTTTTGGCAGTTAATTGGAGATAAGAGTCTCATGGATTTCTTGCTCAGGCTGGCTTTGAATCTAGATACTCAAATCTCAGTCTCCTGAGTAGCTGGGATTACAGGCGGAAGCCACTGGCACCTAGCTCTTTTCCTCTGTTTTGTAATATTTCTGACTACAAAGACTGCCCACTTTGTCTGATTGACTAAATCAACTATAAAGTGCTCGAAGCACGTAACTGCCAGCCAGGCCAGTGCTGCAGTAGAAGCAGAATTGGAGCTAGCTATGTCATTTAAATTTTTCTAGGAGTCACACTTAAAAGCAAAAATGAGGTCCAGGCATACTGCACACACAGATAATCCAGGCACCATGAGGTCTGAGACAGGAGGATTGAGAGGCTAGCCGGGGTTAAGTGGTGAGACCCAGGCTCGAAGTTCAAACCAGAACAAAACAGAAAATAAAGAGGAGGGAGTGAAATGGATTTCCAGTGTTTATTTAGTCCACTAGATCTAAAATACCATCATTGATCAGTTATTTTAGGAAGATTCTTGTAGTCTTTGAATCAGTGCATATTTTGTACATATTGCACATCTTAATTTTTTTTTTTTTTTTTTGGTTGGTCGTGGGGCTTGAACTCTGGGCTTGGGCACTGTCCCTCAGCTCTTCAGCTCAAGGCTAGCGCTCTACCACTTGAGCCACAGGGCCTCTTCCAGTTTTCTGGTGGTTTATTTTATTTATTTATTTATTTTTGTCGGTCAGTCGTGGGGCTTGAACTCTGGGCCTGGGTGCTGTCCCTCAGCTCTTCAGCTCAAGGCTAGCGCTCTACCACTTGAGCTACAGCGCCACTTCCGGTTTTCTGGTGGTTTATTGGAGATAGGAGTCTCACGGTCTCTCCTGCCCGGGCTGGCTTTGAACCGTGATCCTCAGATCTCAACCTCCTGAGTAGCTAGGATTACAGGCGTGAGCCACCAGCGCCCGGCTTCTGGTGGTTTATTGGAGATAAGAGTTTCACGGAGTTTCCTGCATGGGCTGGCTTTGAACCTCCATCCTAAGATCTCAGCCTCCTGAGTAGCGAGGATTACAGGCGTGAGCCACCGACACCCGGCTTGTACATCTTAATTTTGAACAGTAATGTTTCCAGGGGTGATGGCCACAGGCAGTTGGTGACACACCTTGGCAGGGTGGATCTACGAGGTCCTCCTGGGGTAATGAGAACCTGAAGATAATGATGGCGATGGTGGTGGTGATAATGGTGGTGATGGAGGATGGTGGTTGTAGTGATGGTGATGGTGGTGATGGTGGTGGTAAGGATGGTGATGGTGATGGTGGTGATGGTGACAGTGGTGATAATGGTGGTGATGGTAGGGATGGTGATAATGGTGATGTGATGATTATGTTTCAGGTGACAATAGTGATGATGGCGATAGTGATGGTGACAGTGATGATGATGGTGATGATTGGTAGTGATAATGGTGGCGATGGTAACGGTGGTGAAATGATGGTGATGGTGACGATCGTGGTGATGTTGTTGATGGTGGTGATAATGGTGGTGATGATGGTGATGGTGATGATGATAATAGTGATATGCTTCTCAGGAATCAGGTGCTGGTTTATTCATCACCCTTAATACGCTCAAGCATCCATGGCGTGGACTCTCTGATTCCCGCTCTCATGGGAGAGGAGGCGCGGCCTCACGCAGCCAGCTGGGTGGCGTCATTTGCCCTCGGTGGTCAGGTGGGAAGCTGGGGGAGGGGTCACGCTGACCTGGCCCCCTGGACCACTGGCGGATCTGCTTAGACTCTTATCTCCAAGTAACTACTAAAAAGCCAGAAGTGGAGGTGTGGCTCAATTGGTAGAGCACCAGACTTGAGCAGAAAAAGCCAAATGGAAGGTCAGGGCCCTGTGTTCACGCCCCATTGCTGGCACACCAATTATGAGGGGAATGACGGAAGCCTGGGTTTTGATCAGGCTCAGGGAGCTCAGCAAAGAGGCTGTCCAGGGGACAGTGTGGCCCAAGAAAGCAGTAATGGAGATGCAGGGCCGCTGCACCTCTGCCATTTGAGGGTCCCCGGGAGATAAACAGGCAGGAAAGGTGCCACCCACCCTCCCCCAGTCCTGTGTGCTCTGTAGGGCATCCCTGGTGTCCAGCAGTGGTCCCTGGGTGCTGCCAGCCAGGGAGAGATGCCTTACCCTGTAGAAATGGCCACTGTCCAAGTCAGAGTTTTGTGCTGCTGAGCTTGGCACTAATGGCTTATATCCTTGTAATCCTACCAACTCTGAAGGCTGAGATCTGGAGGATCATGTTTTGAGGTCAGCCTGGGCAAAAAAAAAAAAGTCTGTGAGACTCCCATCTCTGATTAAAAACAAAACAAAACAAAACCCAGGCTGGAGGCATGGCCCAAGTAGTAGGACATCAGCCAAACAACAAAGTGAAGCAAGCTGGAGGCCCTGAATTCAAACCCAGTACTGCTAGAAAGAAGTAAAGAGAGAGAGAAGCTGGGCACTGGTGGCTCACGCCTGTAATCCTAGCTACTCAGGAGGCTGAGATCTGAGGATCACGGTTCAAAGCCAGCCCAGGCAGGAACGTCGATGAGACTTTTATCTCCAATAAACCACCAGAAAACCGGAAGTGGCTCTGTGGTTCAGGTGGTAGAGCGGTAGCCTTGAACTGAAGAACTGAGGGATAGTGCCCAGACCCAGAGTTCAAGTCTCACAACAGAGAGAGAGGGGGAGGGAGGGAGGGAGGGAGAGGGAGGGAGAGAGTTGTACACTTCTGCCAATAAATCAATTTTAGTGTTTGGGGTTTAAAAAAAATCCATTATTATTTTAGTATGATCCTAAAAGTAACGCAGTTCATCAGAAAACATGTCCCAGGGGTAGATAACAGAAATCCTCCATAGACTTGCTTCGAGAGCCAGGTGTGATTTCTTTCAGGGTCTAAATGCCCTCCCTCCCGTCAGTTTGGGGATCCTGCCCTCCCCCCCCCCCCCCCCCAGTCCCCATCCAGGTGTAGCTGCCTAACTATGCCTTCCCCTTCCCCCCACCCCCAGATGGCCCTGGGACAGCAGTGTGCAACCGACCCGCCCCCCTTTCCCAGAGGTGGAGAATAAAGCTGAGATCCTGTTTTGTCTGCAAGCAGTCCCCCTCCCCACCCCCATCACAGCAGGAGAGCCAGGGCAGAGTCCACCAGCCAGGGGTAGAGGCCTAATCCTGTTAGCCACACCGCTGGCTGCTCAGAGCTCTGGATGCCTAGCCACCTCTCCCCTCCCCCCCACCAGGGCCCCCTTCCTACTCAGAGCCCTGGGAGTATCCCCAGCATTGGGTGATTATTGCCTGCGACCTGGCTGTGCTCCCGTCCAGTAATTAGCCTGTCCATCTGACCTCTTTATTTGCCCTCTCTGCGTGCAGCCTCGTCTGTCTCCCTGCACCCTGGGAAAAACCAAATTCCTCCACCTTTGTCAATACAGAATCAAAATGCCATCTGCATTTCTCAAGAAACTTTTTTTTTTTTTTTTTTAACCAAAGAGTATCACAGGGAAAAAGAAAAAAAAAAAGCAAACCCTCCTGGTTCTATCAAATAGTTTCCCTCATTCAGTAAATACTCGCAGGGAGCGGAGCACACATTTTATTACCTCTGTTATCTAGTGGGGACCGGAGGCGGCCTGCAAGCTGGCATTTGAAATATTTATAGTGATTCATGTGGAACAGAGAACAATCCCAGCGGTTATTTTTTTTTTTCCCCTCTACTATTTTTAGAGTTCTGAGTGCAACGACGGATGTTCTCGCAAATGTATATTGTGTGGACTGGCCAGAAATCTTATTTTCTAGAGACAAGGAAGCGCTTGCAATTCTGATGCCAATCTTAAACGCGGTGGCTCTCTCCTGTGTGTGCCCGATGCCACGTTGATAGGACTGTTTAAACAGTTGAGGAATGCAGCTGGGGGGGTCAGGGTAGGGTCAGGGGGGTCAGAAATAATGGAAAAATAAAACGGTTAAGCACAATAGCTCAAGCCTGTAATCCTACCCACTTGGGAGGTAGAGATCGGGGGATCATGGTTTGAGGCCAGCCTGGGCATAAAAGTTCACAGGACTCCATCACAACCAATGGCTAGGTGCCTACCATCCCAGTTACGCAGTGCTATGCTCCAGTCTTTCCCTGCAACACAGGAAGCACAAACAGGAGGATCACAGCTCAGGCTGACCCTGGGCGTAAAGCAAGACCTTCCCTTGATCACAACCAAAAGCCAAAAGGGGTTGGAGGTGTGGCTTAATGCCAGCTTAGCAAGCATGAGGTCCTAAATTCAATCCTCCATACCACACGAAAGAAAAGAAAAGGTAACGAAGATAATTTGTGTGCCTAGCATTACCCATGAGCAAAGCCCCACCCACCTTCCTGTGGGCGACTTCTATGGAGCACCCTGCCTGCCTGTGCCCTGCAGCCCGAGGGCCACAGGCTCCCTCTTACAGATGAGAAAATGCAGGTTCAAAAAGGGTAAAAGCTTGGGTTTCGGCCACACAGTCTGGCCTCAGCCGAGGGGACCCTGGAGGCCAGGGAATCTGGCTTAGTGTCTGGGTGCTGTCCTCCAGCCACAGGGATCACTGGGTCTTCCCTTGGGGGGTGGATCCCAGATCACTTGGGCAGGGGCAGTGGCATAAGGCACTGCCCAAATGACCTTTGTAGCTCATGTCAGAAAGACAGGTGAGGGCTGGGAAGGTGGCTTAGTGGTAGAGTGCTTGCCTTGCATGCATGGGGCCCTGGGTTCGATTCCTCAGCACCACATAAGCAGAAAAAGCCCGAAGTGGCGCTGTGGCTCAAGTGGTAGAGCGCTAGCTTTGAGCTGAAGAGCTGAGCACCACTTCCAACTTTCTGGTAGTTAATTGGAAATAAGAGTCTCATGGACTTTCCTGCCTAGGCTGGCTTTGATCTGTGATCCTTAGCTCTCAGCCTCCTGAGTAGCTAGGATGACAGGTGGGAGCCACCAGCGCCTGGCTTGCTTTTTTTTTTCTGGCCCTAATTTACCACTCACTCGAACACAGTGTGACCTAGACACGCAGGGGCGGCCCTGGGTCCACCTGTGTGTTTTTCTCTCCCCTTCTGTCTCCCCCAGGCCTCCATCGCCTGCTGCAGGCAGAAAAACAATGTCTCTGCCCGGGCGGGGTTTATGTCAAAAACACCAAGAGAATTTTTCCACATTGCTAGACGGGCACCTGCCCCAGGTAAGCTGCCTGCGCTGAGCGCTGAGCGTCGGTTCTTTCTGGCCTCCCAGAGCTGGGCTTTGGGAGGAAGGAGAGGGACAAAGAGGAAGGGGAGGAGGGGGAGGAGGGAGAGGAAGGGGAGAAGGGGGAGCAGCAGCCGAGGGTTCCTCCCCCAGGGAACCTCACCCCACCTCCCAGGTCCAAAGGGTACAAATTCTATGCCCCATCCCAGGCTGCTGAAGCGCTTGTGTGTGCGTGCGCATGTGTGCATGCGTGTGCATGTGTGTGGGTGCATGCCTGTGTGTGTTGTAGCTGGGATGACCACACAGCCAGGTGCTTGGATGGGGCCCAGCCGGGTCTCCCCACACAGAGGCTCTCCACCTCCTTCCCCCTCACCCAGCCTCGCCCTCCCAGGCCCACGCCCTCAGCCCTGGTTTTCCGAGGAGGTGGCAGCTCCCACCAGTCACTGGGCCAGGATACGGGACTCGACAGACCAGAGCCAGCAGGTGCCGGTGGGCTGGGGCTGGGGAAGTGTGGGGGCCACCTGGGCTGCTAGGCGTTCAAGCTGGAGCGTGTGGCCTGTTCTCTGGCCCAGGAGGCCCTGAAGACCCTTCTGCTTCACCCCTGCCCCGCCCCAGAGCCTGGGCTTCCCAGGCCATCACAAGGGCGTGGGGAAAACTGTGACTGATTAAAGTTGAGAGGATCCGAGTGAGGCTGAGAAACAAAAACAGCGCTTGAGCGGCTCAGCCTGGGGTTCAGCCACCGCCCACCATGCATCGCCCGCCCACAGCCCCACCTCCTTGGTTTGCTTCTACCGGAGAGCAGAGGCCTGAAATGTGTGCACCTGCACCAGCCACAGGGGCCTGCTCCTGGACCCTGAGGGCTTCCCAAAGCAGGAGCGGGAGGGGCTTCCTGGCACCTGCCCAGCCTCGCTCTGTGCCAGGGCTGTGTGGGTGTTGGCCCTTTCAAGTGGCTCCCCCTCCCCCCGCCTCCCCCTCCCCCCGCCTCCCCCCCCCCCCCCGCCTCCCCCTTCCCTTCCCCCCCCCCCCCCCCCCGTGGAGCTCCCCATGTTCTCTATGACTTTGTGCAGATCATAGCCCAGGGTCCCACAGCTAGATTGCAATCCAGACGCATCCAGATCCACACTTGCTACTTCAAACCCCAAATATATATGTATATGTTTATTTTCTGGCATTATATAAAATAGGTTTTTGAAATATATTGATCTATGAAAGAGAATGGGCCAATATTGTCAAGGATGTAGGCATCTGGCATTAAAAATTTAAGCGTATATTGTCACCATGTTGAAAATCTTTCCAAAACATCATTTTTAGTGGCTGCATAGTATTCTATCCTGTGGTGATTGCATAAATTAGGGAATGAGTGTCATCTCCCTAGAAATTAGGGGGTTTCAAATTGAGCACTCTTGTGTGTAGATGTCACCAGGGCAGCATTCCTGGCGGCTAGCATTCTGTGCATGATTAAGATTACTTCCTGAGCTGGAGGTCAGGCTCAAAAGGGAAAGTGTTTGCGTATGAGTATGAGGCCTATGAGTATGGGTTCAATTTTCAGTACTAGGAAAAATTAGGAGAGAAAAACAAAAGGTGACTTTCTGCTAGAGATATGTAACTCAGTGGAGCACTGGCCTAGCGTGTGCAAGGACCTGGGTTCGATCCCCACTGCAACTACAATAATTTTTATGTAAATTTCTTCAAGTGGAATTGCTAAGGTATAGGTTTATTCATTTTTTAAAAAATTTTTTTGGTCGGTCGTGGGGGCCTGAACTTGGCCTGGGTGCTGTCCCTCAGCTCTTCAGCTCAAGGCTAGCGCTCTACCACTTGAGCCACAGTACCACTTCCAGCTTTTTCTGCTTATGTGGTGCTGAGGAATCAAACCCAGGGCCTTATGCATGCAAGGCAAGCACTCTACCCCTGAGCCACCTTCCTAGTCCAGGTTTATAAATATCTAAAGATTTTTTTTTTTTTTTCGCGTTCTGGGGCTTGAACTTAGGGCCTAGGCACTGTCCCTGAGCTTTTTTTTTTTTTTTTTAAATTGTTATTCTATAGGAGACATCAGCAGGATTACAGTTATATAAGTCAGGTAATGAGTATTTTTTTTTTGGGAGGGGGGTCCTGGTCGTGGGGCCTGAACTCTGGGCCTGGGCGCTGTCCCTCAGCTCTTCAGCTCAAGGCTAGCGCTCTACCACTTGAGCCACAGTGCCTCTTCTGGCTTTTTTCTTTTTGCTTATGTGGTGCTGAGGAATCGAACCCAGGGCCTCAGGCATGCAAGGCAAGCGCTCTACCACTGAGCCACCTTCCCAGCCCCCCTTTTTTTTCTTACCCTGAGCTCTTCGCTCAAGGCTGGCACTCTACCACTTGAGTCTCTGCTCTACCCCTGGTTTTTTTGGTGCTTAGAGATAAGAATATCACAAGCTTTTCCTACCTGAGCTGGCTTTGAATTATGATGCTCAGATCTCAGTCTCCTGAGTAGCTAGGATTACAGGTATGAGCCACCAGCACTCGGCTAATACCTAAGGTTTTGATGTTTGTTACTAAACTGCCCCTCAGCACAGAGTGATTCTTCTTCTGCATCTCCTTCCTTCACACCGCCCCCCCCCCCGCCAGGATGCCCCGCTGCTCTGACCCCCGTCTTGTTCTGTGTACTTTGCAATGGAGAAGCAAACTCTACTGAGAACAATAAAAAGTAAATGTATAAAGTTTAGAAAATTGGAAATACTTTCCTCACTCACAGTGCCATTATTTCCCCAAAAGGTTCTAGTTTTCTGCATGCACACATGCCATTTTAAAATGTATGTGTATATGTGCACACACGCGTGTGTGTATGTACACACGTGCATGTGTGTATGATGGATGTTTCTGGATTCCAGTCTGTTTTAACCCAGCTGTGTCCTCTGGCACACTGACCTCTGGGTTTTAATTTCCTGCTCTGTCTCACAGCCTGCAGGCTTCCCGCTTAGCCACCCCTCCCACAGCCCTGCCTTGGGACGTGGGCATCAGGCATTGGCACTGCCCACAGCTACTGCTGTGTGTGGCCTGGCATCTGGAACTTTCCCTTTACCATAATTACTTGTCACTTGGGCGACATCCATCCGCATGGTGTCCAAGAACGCCTCCCACTTCCTACCACGCAGCGTGGCCTGGAGGGTGGCTGTGGTGCGTGTGGGACCGGCCGCTGGGCCCAGCTGAGTCCCGTCCTGTCCTTGGTTGGTGAACAGCCTCTGGCATTAATAACTATTTAGTGCGGAGAATGGAGGGGGGTGCCAGCCACGGGCTCCCGCAGACACAGCCTGCAGCCCCACCATGGGGAATGCGACTTTGAGTCTCCCCTGGCCTTCTGTCCCACCTCATCCCCCCATCCCCCGGCTCAGCCCTCTGCACCCTGGGCCGCCTCAGGGAGGCTGCCCCCTAGCCAAGGCGGCCTTGGATGTGTGGGGAGGGGAGGAGGCTGAGAAGAGCCCTCATTCCGTGCTCCTGCTCCTTTCTGTTTAGGGCATTACAATGTCAACGAGTCCCTTGTGAAGCAGTCGCCCAAGACTTTAATGTCTTGTTTCAAATCGAAAACCGATCGTGGAGTCAAGCTGCACACCTCAGGCCCGGGGCCTGGCTATTACAACCTGAATGAGCACACCAAAGTTCTGAAAAAAGCCCAGATTCCGTGAGTCCTGATTACTATTATTATTATTATTATTCCTCCTCCTCCTCTTCCTCCTCCTCCTCCTTTTCCTCCTCCTTTGTTTGTTTTTTGGCCAGTCAGTGCCTGGGGAGGAGGAGCCTCACATGGACAGAATGGGGAGGGATTTCTACCAAACTCTTGGGGCCCAGAGCATGTAATAGGTGTTCAGTTAATATTTGGTGAATGCATGGTGTGTGCTAGGAACTTAAAGGTTCACCTAATTATCCTGTGAGCCCTGCTGTAGGAATACTTATTCTTACTTGATAGAGGAAAAAGCAGAGGGGTTTTCCTGAGTCCACACAGCTAACTTAGGCGCCCCAGGACCCTGCTGGGGACTGTCTGGAAGTTTCTCAAGTCATCATGAATCTGCACTTGGTGGGTGCTGGCCTTGTTCCACTGTTCTAACCAGTCTGACAGGACACACAGAACCAGGGAGGCTGATCACACCTGCTGGACCTAAACTCTGGTTCTGATATATGTATTTGTCAGTCATGGGTCTTGAACTCAGGGCCTGGGCACTGTCTCTCAGCTCTTTTGCTCAAGGCTGGTGCTCTACCACTTGGAGACACAGTACCACTTCTTTTTTTTATACTAATGTCTTACTGAGATTAAATGATTACATAAATTTCACAGTATAATAGGATAGTGATATGTAGTTAAAGCTACAAACACATTATAACACCATTTCTGTTAATTTTTTTTTTTGTAATTTTTTTTTCTTGGTTGGTCGTGGGGCTTGAACTTGGGGCCTGGGCGCTGTCCCTGAGCTCTTTCACCCAAGGTTAGTGCTCTACCACTTGGAGCCACAGCTTTGCTTCCAGTTTGTAAATATTTTTAAATTGTTCTTGTAAAGGTGGTGGTACAGTTACACCAGTCGTGTGATGGATGCATTTCCTTTTTGGACAATGTCACCTCTTCCCTCATGCTCAGTTTTTCCCTCCTGGCCCCATCCACAAGTTGTAGAGTTCATTTTCAACACAGTGTCTAGTGAGGACCGCTGCTGCATTTGTTCCCCCTCCCCCTCCCCCTCCCAAGACAGATAAACTACCAAACAAGACAAAAAGAAAACAACAACAACAACAACAGAGAACAAACCTCTCGTTTCCTTTTCCTGGAGTTCATTTTGATAGATATTATTTTATATGATCAGACACACAGAGGCATTGCACCCCTAAAAGTGTCTTCCTTTGGTCTCACTGGGTGTGAATGAGTCCTATTGGCTCTGCTGTTTTTATGCTGTGCGACCTTGGGTTATGGGCAAACCTTTCTGAGCCTTCTACCCATGTAAAGTAAAAGTGTGAGCTATTTGTGTCTCGTAAGGTTACTTTCAGAATTAAAATTATGTTTAGGTGCACAGTAGGTCCAAATGGTGACTTAATATTAACTCAGCTTAAAAAAAAATAAAAGTGGAGACAAGCCAGGCTGCTGGTCACTCACACCTGTGATCTCCCCCCCCCCCCCCCCCAGACTTCTAGTTATTATTCTTAGTATAGCTGACATCACTCCATAGGCTGTGGATGTATTAAGACATGGACTGGTGGGACTTGAGTCTGACTCTGGAAACTTCATCAAGGAAACTTTGAAAGTGGGTAGGAGAGTGGACCACACTCAAGTTCTTACAGTTTTTCCAAGAGAAATGGCTTTTTGGCCTTTGCTCAGTTTGGAGGAGCAGTGGCGATCATTGTCACGGCGCTGACTGTCCCGTCAGCCGCCCTGTGGCTTCCTGGGTCACGGCTGGACACTGGAAGCCTCAGGTCAGCGGGGCACCCAACCTCTCAGCCAGGCCCACCCGGGACGACCTCAGGAAAGCAGGCAGCAATGCAGGCTCACACAGGCCCCCGGGTCCTGGCCACAGACAGCCCAGGGGTACTGGGTGGAGCAGTGCAGTGGCATGGCCTTTTTGAGCCATCTGGAATGAAGAGATCCTGGTAGTATGGCTGGGGGCTGTGGTGTACTGTCCACAGTCCCTGGGGTGGGCTGGGGGTGGGGGTCTGGCACATTAAAGGACCTGACAAGGCCTGCAGGAGAGGGTGCTGTGAGACCCAGTGTCTCCTAGCTCAGGTTCTTCGCTCTCAGGACCCCAGCACTTGTCACAGAGAAGTCATCAGAGCCAGCCTGGACCACCGATGGGGGAGGGAGAGGGGTGCACAATGCACATTTCAAAATGGAACCGGAGCCGTTTATGGCAGTGCACCTCTGTACAAATTGCAGCCCTCGGGAGGCAGAGGTGGGAGAATCTTTAAGGATTACGAAGCAAGATCCCCATCTTGGGAAAACAAGACAAAATACATGGAAAAGAGGAAGCGGAGGAACCCCAGGCTTTACTGACAAAGCAAGAACATGACACTGTGGACTACAAGAAAGAGAAGTATCTGCCCTGTAGGCCAAATGATGAAGACGCTGTCGCCGGCCTGGAGGGCGTCTGCCTCCAGACTTCATGTTTGTGCAGGGCAGCGAGGCCCCTGTGCCCGGGTGTCCAGCCTCGGAGGGCAGCTGTGCCCGCGGTCACCCTCACTCAGACCGGGCCAGGGACCTGGGAGCTTTCTCCAGGGTTCCAGGAGGTCAGGTGTGCTGTGCCAGGGCCCGGCTCTGTACCCCGTGGCCGGGCTTCGGCCACCGCGCTGACTCAGAGCAGAGAGGATTTACGGGCTTCCACGGTGTCTTTAGAAGCGGAGCGAGTGTCACAAGCTTTCCCTTGTGGAGGCCCTGCAGGTCCCCAGGACCCGCCATGTGACTCAGAGGCGGAGGGCGAGTCCTGCTCAGGGCTTTGCAGATGGCAGGCCCTCCCAGCTCGGCCCTCCGACTCGCTCGCTCGCAGCCAGGACAAGAAACGCCCTTCATCCACTTCCTGGAGGTTTAAGCCACTGGGTTTGCACAGGCTTGCTGTCCTGTCACAGCTGGAGCCCCGGGATCAAGCCCCGGGCTGGGCTCCAACTCTGGCAATTACATCATATCTCACACCCTCACAGTCCCTGCTCCCGCAGACTAATTACAAGCAAGGCAGGGGCTGCATCTTCCCAAGAAAAGTCATCTGTCACCCACCACCCACCCAGGACCAGATACTACATCCCCTCCCTGCTGGTCAGCTGCCTTTATTTCCACCACCCGCCCCCCCACACCAGGCCTGGGAACCCCCTCCCCATAGGGATCCTGTGTCTGGGAGTGTGTAACTCCCCCAGGATGTTTACTGGAAGCTTCCAACACCCTTAACTCCAGTGGGGCAAATCTGAGCCTTTGATGGATGCTTTGCTTCCTTGGGGCAGGGCTGGCTTTGCCCTTTGTCACTCAGCAGTGGCATCCTGGAGAAGACTTGCAGGTCACAGTGCCCCTGAGCTGCTGGCTTTTTTGTCTGTCTGCCTTTCATCAGCTGCTGGCTCCTACTGGGACACCAGCCATCAGCCCCGCATGGCATGAGGGCCAGCGGCTCTGGGACCTTGCTGGCTTCACACAGAGACTGTGGAAATCTGGGGCTGGAAAGGTGGCTCAGTGGTAGAGTGCTTGCCTTGCATGCATGAGGCCCTGGGTTCGATTCCTCAGCACCACATAAACAGAAAAAGCCGGAAGTAGTGCTGTGGCTCAAGTGGTAGAGCGCTAGCCTTGAGCTGAAGAGCTGAGGGACAGTGCCCAGACCCAGGTTTCAGGCCCCACGACCAACACACACACACACACACACACACACACACACGAAAGCATGGAAATCTGTGCTATGGGACCAGAGCCTTCACAGGGACCCCCTCTGGTCACCTCACCAGTAGTGACCACCCACACTGGTCCATCTCCCTCCAGAGGTCTACCATGGAGGATTCCTGCGGGGGTGGTGAAAGAGTGGAGGAGGGTCTTCCTGGCCCTAGAAGGGAATGTGGGGGCAGGTCAGGCAACTAGGCTTCGTGGAGTGGCCACACGGGAGCCTTCTGTGGTAGAGATGGGGGGACTTGAACATCCCACGGGTGATGGGGGCTGGAGGCTGAAGGCGGCAGAGGGGCTGGGCCTCTGTCTCCTGGTGTCTGTCTGTCCTCCCTTCCTATGGGGCTCCCTCTTTCCCCGCGGTGTCCCTACTATGCCCTTTCTTTTCTTTTTTTTTTTTTTTTTGGTCGGCCGTGGGGCTTGAACTCTGGGCCTGGGCGCTGTCCCTCAGCTCTTCAGCTCAAGGCGAGTGCTCTACCACTTGAGCTACAGCGCCACTTCTGGTTTTCTGGTGGTTTGTTGGAGATAGGAGTCTCACGGTCTCTCCTGCCCGGGCTGGCTTTGAACCGCGATCCTCAGATCTCAGCCTCCTGAGTAGCTAGGATTACAGGCGTGAGCCACCAGCGCCCGGCTATGCCCTTTCTTGCCTGCTGACCCTTCCAGGGTAGATTTCCACAATTGCCCACCAGGAATTGGTCTCTGTGTACTCTCAGTGCAGAGTCTTAAACTCTCTGCCAACAGAAGCCCTGTGAAGAGAGTAACACGGGGCGAGCTGCTCATCTCCCTGACCACCCCAGGTCCCACCACCCACCATTTTTTTCTGTTGTTGTTGTTGTTGGTCATGGGGCTTGAACTCTGGGCCTGGGCGCTGTCCTTCAGCTCTTCAGCTCAAGGCTAGTGCCCTATCACTTGAGCCACAGCACCACTTCCAGTTTTCTGATGGTTTACTGGAGATAAGAGTCTCATAGACTTTCCTGTCCAGGCTGGCTTTGAACCATAATCCTCAGATCTCAGCCTCCTGAGTAGCTAGGATAACAGGTATGAGCCACTGGTGCCTGGCATTTTACAAAGAAACTGAGGCTTAGGGAAGCCAGGGACACAAGGAATAAGGAAGGGACATCCAGACACAGCGCTGTCTGGGTGTGCATCTGCACTGGGGCCATGGACACCCGGAGGACATCCGGGTCTGTGTCCTTGAACACAGCAGCCTGGACTCCCAAGAATGCCTGGTAGGCCCATGTTCTCTGAGGACCCCTAGCATTGGAAAGAGGGCGCTGAGCAGTGATGAAGTGCAGGAAGGGGCTGCTCTAGCCCACTTTGGCCGGGAGTGCTGGTAGGGCTGGGGCTTAGCCTGCTCCACTGCTTGTTGACCATGCTTAGGGGAGCAGGTACCTCATGGTTTTCATCAAGAACAAAGTGGGAGCTAGCATCATGGGCTGACTCAGACTGACAGTGACTTCATAGGACGATTCCAGCCTCACACACTGGTCAGGGAGACCAGTCATACACCTATCAAATTTCTGGGGTGCTTGGGAAGGGGTACCAGACCCAGACCAGGGAGAAGGCAGTGCTGGTTTATGAGGAAAGAGGCTACTGATGAATCCTACATCGAGTTCTTCCCTGGATACTGGGGTGGGGCAAGTTTCCCCTCCAAGCCTGTAGTCCCGCCCTCACACAGTGAGGGAGCTTCAGTAGACTTCTCAGTCCCTGGCTCTTTGGGTTTGAGAAAATGGTGGGCCAAAGCAGTCAAGGGAGGAGGAATCGTTGTGTGTCTTTTGTGCTTTGAAATGAAGCATGCTCTCTGGGCCATTGTGCATTGAGAAGCTTCCATCTCCTTTCGGTGAGAAACCTTGAAGGAAGAAGCTGTAGGTGTGAGGCAGCCCTTCCCGCTGTGTAGTGGCCGAGGGGCCCGGGTGCCTGAGAGCCCCAAGGATGCCTGGTGATCTAGGGAACTGTGCAAAAAGTCCCAATACATCGTCATAGTTGAAAGAGACCCCAAAGGTCATCTTATCCAACTCCCTCAGTTAACAGGTGGGAAAATGGAGTCCCAGAATGAATCAGTTAGAAGATTTAGACTCAAGTACTGGTTCCAGTGTTGATGTAGTTAATGTCATGCAGAGACCACTACATTCCCAGCCCAGTGTTTTAGCAGGATTCCAGATCACCAATGCTGTAATGGTCTCTAGAGATCTTCTCATTGTGGGATGACTCTTGCCATTCTCTGGCCATGGCAGACATTACAAGTCAATCACCAAGGCCACCAGGTAAGCACTACCAGTTGGTAGATGTGATCAATGCATTCTGATTAGCTCAACAGCTAGAAGGTATTATGAGTTCCCACTGGGGGCCAGGACTGGTCCTGAGTGCCCAGTTTTATTCAAATACACTGTCTTATTTAACCCTGACAACAAGCCACAAAGCAGGTACTGCTATGATCACCCTTGGGCATGAGAGGAAACTGAGCCCCAGGGGTCCCAAAGGTTCATAAGCAGTGGAAACAGCTCTGCATAGGTCCATGAGCAAGCCTCCCCCAGCCCAAGTGAGCCTTGGCTGTGGTTCCATGTTTCTCCAGTAGACAATAATACTGATATTTTCCTATTTTGTCTTTTTCCAAGGCGGAATCCCATCCTGAACTTCTCAGCGCAGCCTCTGCCTCTGCCCCCGAAGCCGCCTCTCCCAGGCCCTGGTCAGTACGATATCGTGGACTATGAAGGCCCTGCCAAGCAGTATATCTCCAGTGCATCATTCGTGTCCAACACCAGCCGGTGGACAGAGATGCGGTCCCAGTCAGGCATGCCTGGCCCAGGTCAGAGAATTCCTCTAAATGATTGTATAGTCTAAATCTTCTGGGAATGTTTGTCATTTCTAGGTCATCGAAACCCGCTGACGTATAGGCTATCTGCCACAGAGGCTGGGGATGGGGCTACATACAAGAGATACCAGTTCTCTGTCTCAGAGTATAAAAGGATTTTGGATTTTTACAGTGAATAGGCTCTTGCAGATGATACAGGCCAGGGATCCATGAGTGAAACCTGCAAAGGTGAGCCAGTGGCTCACACCTGTAATCCTGAGTACTAAGGAGGTTGAGATCTGAGGATCCAGCCAGGCTGGGCAGGAAAGTTATGAGACTCCTATCTCCAATGAACTACCAGGAAACCGGAAGTGGTGCTGTGGCTCAAGTGGTAGAGCGCTAGCCTTGAGCTGAAGAGCTGAGGGACAGTGCTCAGGCCCAGAGTTCAAGCCGCACAGCTGACAAAAGACAAAAAAAAAAAAAAAGTCAAAGAGTGGCTGGCTTTGGAGCAGAGAGAGACTGATTTGTCTACAAATTGGGAGTGGTTAGATAGCTTTTGTTTTGTTTTTATTGTTTTGTTTTGTTTTTAGGAAGAAGATAGTAGCTTTTGTTAGTTTCTCAGGAAAGCTCTTGTTCTTTAACATATGGCTGGGCACAGTAGTTCATGCCTATAATTCCAGCTACTTGGGAGGTAGAGACAAGGAAGATTATGGTTTGAGTCCAACCTGGGAGTCAGTTCAAGTCCCTATTAGAAAAGCAAGCTAAAAGCAAAAAGACGGGCCGTGGCTCCCTGAATGCATACCTACTACCATATATAAACGAATAAATATGTGCAATGAAGTCACTGCTCTAGTGCAAGGTATTTCACCGACAGGGAAGACCTGGAGAGAAGCTGTGCACAGCTGCTTGTGGTATTAGTGGCCGGGCCCAGCGCCCAGGCCTTGTCGGTGATGAAGGAGTCCCGGGACAGTCTACCGGGCCACCACTCTCAGTGTGAGCTTCAGCGAACTCCCTTGTCGATCCATTGGGATCTACCCGGGGCTAAAATCCTGAGCTGCACACTCCGAGGGGCGGGGCCGGAGCCGAGCCTGGGCCAGGGTGGGCGGGGCCGACCGGGCCGGGGGCGGGGCCGGAGCCCGAGCTTGGGGGCGCGGCCAGGAACGAGGCGGGGCCATGGGTGGGCGGGGCCGGCAAGGGGCGTGGCCGGGGCGGGGTGGGTGGGCGTCTCTGTACTTCCCCATAGACCTGTAGCTAAGGCTCTAATGGCAATGGCAGCTGTGGAGCTGGTGGCCCTGACAAAGGCTAGAACTGGTGACATCCGGGGCTGACAGATGTGAAGAGTGAGTGCCTGAGGAGGAGGAGGAGGAGGAGGCCAAGCGCAGATGGCACTCGGGGCCCTTCAGAAGCAGCTAGCGCTGCCATGCTCCTGCCAGGGGGAGGGCCGGGGCTGGCAGGCTCGCCCGGTGAGTGAGACCCCCCTCCTCGTCCCAGATGAGGACAGTGCAGAGGCGAGAAGGCCAGTCTAGCTCTGACCTTGTAGATGTCGAGATGATAAAACAAAAATGGCTGCTGGTGACTCACTGTCAGCAATCCTGGCTACGCCAGGAGGCTGAGGTCTGAAGATCATGGTTCCAAGGCAGCCTGGGCAGGAGACTCTTATCTCCAGTTAACCATTAGAAAGCAGAAAGTAGCACTGTGGCTCAAAGTGGTAGAGCACCAGCCTTCAGTAAAAGAGCTCAGGACTGCGCCCCGGGCCCTGAGTTTAAGCTCCACAATTGACCCCCCCCCCAAAAAAAAAAGGATTATTTTATTTTATTTTATTGTCAGTCATGGGCTTGAACTCTGGGCCTGGGTGCTGTCCCTCAGCTCTTCAGCTCAAGGTGAGCACTCTACCACTTGAGCCACAGCACCACATCCGGTTTTCTGAGTGGTTTATTAGAGATAAGAGTCTCATAGACTTTCCTGCCCGAGCTGGCTTTGAACTGTGGTCCTCAGATCTCAGCCTCCTGAGTAATTAGGATTACAGGCGTGAGCCACCAGTACCCAGCAGTTTTCTTCTTAAGTATGATTTTTTTTGTTACTATGAAAGAGAGGTTACCATTTCATAAGTCAGGTAATGAGTACAATTCTTTTTGGACAATGTTATCCCTTCCTTCACTTTCCCTCAGTTTCCCCTTCCCATTCCTGCCCACAAGTTGCATGGTTCATTTTCCATATGGTGTCAGCTGAGTACCATGACTGTACTTGTTCATCCTTCCTCCTCCCTTTCTGTGCTTCCTTGCCCCCCCCAAAAAAAACCAAAAGCAAAAATAAGCACCAATACACGCCCCCCTCCCCCCTTCCACTCCTGCATATTCCCATTCCTAGAGTTCATTTGGATAAGCAGCGTTTTAAATGCTCAGAGGAGTTAGGCCTCTGGGTTCCTTCCCTAAGGGAACCCTCCTTTAAGGACTGCAGGGTTTTGACCTGAGTCCTTCTGGTCAGGGCAGGAGAGCATAGTTTGGTCCAGGAGCCTGGGGATGGGAGGAATTGCTGTCTGGCCCTGTGGGGCTGGGTCTTCTAGCAGCTGTGTCTGAGTGTGTGGCACCTGGCACATAGGTATAGCTATGGCTGCTACCATGGTCCGCTCCACCATGCTGGCTTTCCTGCTCAGCAGATGCAAGAGCAGGTACCTTGTCTTCATGGCCTCAAGACGGTACAGATCCATCCAGGCTGCCCTCCAGTTCCCTCACTGTCTACTGAGAAGACACGAAGTTACCTCGGCAAAGTTCCCCCGCTTTGCTTGGTCCTGCCTGCTCATTTCCTAGAGACCCTTGTCTGCAATCTCCATGGCTTCTGCCACTCTGGAAATGAACTAAAGCAAAACAAACCCTGCTAGGGGCTGGGAAGGTGGCTCGGTGGTAGAGCGCTTGGCTTGCATGCCTGAGGCCCTGGGTTCAATTCCTCAGCACCACATAAGCAAAAAGAAAAAAGCTGGAAGTGGCGCTGTGGCTCAAGTGGTAGAGCGCTAGCCTTGAGCTGAAGAGCTGAGGGGCAGCGCCCAGGCCCAGAGTTCAGGCCCCACAACCGGACCCCCCCCAAAAAAAAAACCCTGCTAAATTAGCTCCTTGCTTCTTTAAGAATATGGCTTTATCCAGGAAATGGAGACATGAGTTGGTTTTGGTTATTGTTGTTGTTGTTGTCTGTTTTTTTGCTTTGGGGTTTTATCTTTTTAGGGAGGGCAAAGGGGGGAGGGGGACACAGAAATGGGAGAGGATAGGTGAACAAATGAAGTCATGGTATTCAGTAGACACTATGTGGAGCATGAACTATGTAACTTGTGGGCAGGGACAGGAGGGGGAAACTGGGGGAAAGCGAAGGAAAGGGTGACATTGTCCAAAAAGGATTGTACTCATTACCTGACTTGTGACATGGTAACCCTTCTGTACAACACTTTAATAACAACAATAAAGTCATATTATATATATATATATAATTATAGTTATATATATAACTTTAGGTAGGCACTGGTGGTTCACATCTGTAATCCTAAGTACTCAGAAGGCTGAGATCTGAGGATTGTGGTTTGAAGTCAGCCCAGGAGGAAAAGTCAGGGAGACTCTTATCTCCAATTTGTTAACCAGCAAAAAGCTGGACATGGAGGTATGGTTCACGTGGTAGAATGGCAGCCTTGAGTAAAAAAAGCTAAGGGAGAGAGCTCAAGGGCCTGAGTTCAAGCCCTCCTGGCACTTAAAAAAAAGAAAAAGAATATGGCTTAATTCCATGTTATAAAATTCCATAGAAAATACTTTTACAGATTCAATCAAACAAGTTAAAAAGTGTTAATGCCAGAGCCATAGTTCAAAGCCATCCTTGGCCAGCTATGAGCCATATAACCAGCCAGTACCTCCCCCTGTCTCCACAGGTAGGGTTTGGGGCTAGTGGGGGGCGGGGAGGGGGCAAAGTTGGAGTCTGGGCACCTGGGCCATCTTCTGCCCCTCTTCATGCTCTCTCTGTCTCTCTGCAGCCACGTACAAGCCGCAGCTCCCAGGGAAGCAGTCTTTCCTCTATAACGAGGACAACAAATGGATTCCAGCTGTGTAGCGTTGCAGCCCCCAGACCCTGGCCCCTGCTCCCCAGGACTTTCTGCAGGAGAGTGTGGCCGCTTGCCCACCCGCCAACCCCCACCCAGCCTCGTCCTGACCTGCCTCCCAGAGGCTACACCCATCCTTGTCTATGGCCAAGGCTCTGGGTGAGTCCCCTCCGCAGTCTTGAGAGGCTGCTGAAATGCAGACTTGGAGCAGAGCTCCCATCTATCACAAAGACCACCAGTGGCAGAATCCCTGTCTAGAAACCTAAGGCCTGGTAGAAGATCTGGGGCCTCGAGTATGCCCCCCCCCGCAAGTGCCCCACCCATCTGTCCTGATGCCCACACTCTTCGATTTCCAAGAGCCAGCAAGTTCCAGGGGTGGCTGTGACAGAGACATGGAGTATTGCCCGGGCCCCTTGCCCCCAGCCAAGCCTCAGTCTTCACCTGGAGCCATGGGAATCCCATGCCCCGCCCCTGCACCTCTCAGTTTATGGGATCTGCAGGCTACAGAGCTTGTCCTGGAAGCTGGTCCCAAAGGGCCAGGAGGCCACCATGCTCCATGCCTGCAGGCTCCTCCTGCAACCTCTGCTGGTCCTGCTCCCCCCACCTCCCACCCTCACCCCATCTTCTGCTCCAATATCCAAGTTGGATACAGACTTTAATGGATCTCTTCTGGCTTTCCAGATCTTTCCCCCTTCACCAGAGGAAGAGGTGATCAAGGAGTTGAGAAATAGAACTAACCGCCCCTTACCCCCTCCTCCAGCATTGGCGGATGTCGCTTTTCTAAATGAGAATTTCTCTTGTGTGGCTCCCCTCCCTTCCCCCAGCCCTCGGCACCCCCAGGACATCTGGGATGACGCATAGGGCCTGCACTTGCCCTGCCTCTCCTGTACTTTCTCTGGGAATGCTACATCCTGAGCCTCCCTCTCAGAACTGGCTGCTGATTGGCTCTCCCTTTGGGGTGGGAGGGAGAAGGAAAGTGAAAATAACATATTCAATTAAAATGAGTTCTTGCTTTTCTCAGATGCGTTCCTCACATGCCACTCCAGCAGGGGCTAAAGGTAGAACCACTTTGTGCTTCTGTCTGCTCGGGACCCGACTCTGAGAGAAGCCAGCTAGCTGGAATTCAGGGCCTCCCAGGCCCAACGCTGCCAGGGCCTGGGTGAGCGATGCGCAATGCAAACAAACCAGCTGAGTTCGTGGCTGTCCACAGGGGCAGCCAGCCCCGCTGTAGCTCCTGGCTGCCTGAGGTGTGGACTCCTTGGCAGTCTGGGGAATCGTTGTACCCTGGATCTCTCCATGTAGTTCAAATTAATTCTGTGTGTGTGTGTGTGTGTGTGTGTGTGTGTGTGTGTGTGTGTGTGTGTGTGTGTGTGTGTGTGTGTGTGTGTGTGTGTGTACTAGGGCTCGAACTTGGGGCCTGGGTGCTGTCCCTGAGGTTTTTCTTTCTCTAGGTTTTTTTTTAGTGCTTTCACTTGAGCCAGTTTCATTTCTGGTGTTTTGGTGATTAAATGGAGATAAGAGTCTCATGGAATTTCCTGTCTGGGCTGGCTTTGAACCACCATCCTCAGATCTCAGCCTCCTGAGTAGGTAGGATTACAGACATGCGCCACTGGTGCCTGGCTCAAACTTTAAAAACAAAACAAAAACAGGTTTTGTTAAACAAATCCTACTATGTGAAAAGCAGAGCTTCTGGGATTGAAGCTGGGGCTGTTCTGGGGTGTCAGCCTGGGCCTTGAAGACCCATGAGTAAACCTGATGCTCAGGAGATGATCGCTACTGGCAGAGTATACTAGGTCTTACTTTTTTTTTTTTTTGTCGGTCCTGGGGCTTGAGCTCTGGGCCTGAGTGCTGTCCCTGAGCTCTTCAGTACTACTTCCAGTTTTCTGGTGGTTTATTGGAGATAAGAGTCTCACGGAGTTCAGGTCCCACGACTAGCAAAAAAAAAAAAAAGAGTCTCATGGACTTCCTTGCCCTAGCTGGATTTGAACCGTGATCCTCAGATCTCAGCCTACTGAGTAGCTAGGATTACAGGTATGAGCTACCTGCGCTGGGCTAGGTCCTACATTTTATAGGAAGAAACACAAACTGTAGCAGTGAAACGTGGGGAAAGGAGGAAGGGATGTAAATTGGGGGGGGGGGGGAAGGGCTGGGAAGATGGCTCAGTGGAAAAGCACTTGCCTTGCATGCATGAGGCCCTGGGTTTGATTCCTCAGCACCACATAAGCAAAAAGAAAAAAGCCGGAAGTGGCACTGTGGCTCAAGTGGTAGAGCACTAGCCTTGAGCTGAAGAGCTGAGGGACAGCGCCCAGGCCCAGAGTTTAGGCCCCACGACCAGACCAAAAAAAAAAAAGGGGGGGGGGGAGAGGGAGGGAAGGAGGAAACCCTGACTTGTTCATCCTCTAGAGGAAACAAAGGGCTTCCTGGTAGTCATTGATATCTGTGGCCTAAATACTCCCACCAGTAAACCCACGATGTCACTGGCACACAAGTGGGAAGAGTTGGGCATAGTGGCTCTTGGGAGCTGGCAGGTGCCTGGAGGCTGGCTGGCAGGGCGGAGCTGGCAGAGGGCCTAGGTCGCAGGAATCGCAACCCTGGCCCCACCTGAGAAGTGCTCATCTCAGCTCTTCTGGAGCCTTTCCGGGCCTTTATCTGTCAGCAGCCCTCAGCCTCATGGGACCACTGCTGGACCCAGCGGCCGGGCAGGGTGTCACCTCCACCCCTCCACACCGGCCCCCCCCCAGTCTGTGCTGACCTCCACCCTTCCTACGTGAGGCAAGAGAAGGAGGGGAGGGGAGGGGGGAGAAAGAGGGACAGGGGAATGAGGAGGGAGAGGCAGAAGGTGGGGGGAGGGGGACAGAGACTTCATGTACCCCATCCTTGCAGAGGAAGACTCCCACAGCAGGTGCAGTGACACATCAGAAGGCTTTTATTACTGAGTACATCATGTATCATGTTGTTAGGGGTGTACAAAATGCATGATTGAAGAGCCACTAAAAAAATAGTCCAAGAAATGTGAAACACACATTCTTTGAAATGATAAAAACATATCCATGAAAAATATAAAACGTTGCATATGTATATATACACAATATATTTATAATATATATATAACATACATGAAAACTGTAAATAGGAAATGTGTACAGTAGTAGTGGCAAGGCAGTCGTTTTACCCAGTGGTGGCTTTGATCCAGTCAGCTCTGCTATTTACACCCAGCCTGCCTTGAGGAAGCAGGCAGGAAAGACATCTTCATGAGCGGATCTTTACCAAGTCCTTTGTGCTGAAAACCAAGTCTTCCAGGGACTTGGCCACAGGGTGGGAAGTCCTTGGAGTGTTGATAGAAGAGTCCAGTAGGGCAGCGTGTCCATGGGGAGTGAGGCTTTCGCCCTCTGAAGGGCAGGGGCTTCGGCGGGGGACTGTGAGGAGGAACCCAGATGCTGGCTCAGGGAAAGGGGAGTGGATTCAAGCTGGATGGGGTTCTGATCAGGGGACCTCCGAGGTCCCTTCCTGGATCTGACACAGGTGGGTCTGTGACTTGAGCAAGACAGTCCAGTGGCAGCCCTGAGACCGTGGGGAGGTCGTGTGCGGTGTGGGGCCCACCCGGGTGCCAAGGCGTGGGCTCAGGCCTCACAGCTCCTTCAAGGTGATCTGGATCTTGCCGTCCAGCTCGCCCATGTCCAGCAGGAAGGCCACATGGTTGCTGTAGTGCTGAATGATGTTGTTGTCCATATTGACCAGGATCCTGGAAGAAAAGAGGTGCCGTGGTTGGAACCGACAGTCCCTGTCCTGCCCTCACTCTGAGCGACGCGATGGGGACATGGCAGGTGCCTCGCCAGCCCCTCCCTGAGCCTCAACACCAATCTGCAGGGTTGGGGCTCCAAGTTCCCCTCCTAGGAGAGTGGTCTGAGGCTACCTCAAACCCTGGCTTGCCAGCTGATGTGTGTGGCTGTGAACGCTTCCGAGCAGCCCCTGAGGTCAGGAGGAGCCTCCATCTGGCTCACCAGGAGGCTACAATGAGCTGCTCAGGCATGCCTGCAGAGCTAGAGACTCTGCAATCAGCTAGAATCTCAGGGGCTGCAAGTGGGGGCCGCAGGGGAACTTAGCTTCTCTCTCTCCACTCTGTAGGCAAGGCCCTGTCCAACCTGACAGAGACAGATGACCTGTGGCTGGCCCCTGGTTTATGCTAAGGACCCCATTCCAGAGCTGTGCCCTGATCACAGGCCACCAGCAGGGGGCCTGAGAGGAGCATTTCTGCCCCTTCCTGTTAAGCTTCCACTGCCTCCTATCTATCCACCCTGTTCTCCAGCTTCCTGTCCATCCCTCTAAAGCCTCAGGGTTTGCTGAGGTCTTTCTGGGATTTGAATGCAAACCATTCTCTCTCGCTAGACTAAAAGGTGAAAGCCTTCAAAATACAAGTTAGGAAGCGGTAGATAACAAGAAGGTGAAATATAGGTCTGGGTATCGTCAGCTAAGGGTGGATCATCCAAAGGGGGCTGGAGTGGCAGGTAGATGTATGTTCTCTTGAGGACCCAAGGCAGGCAACTGTGGTGAGCTTGGAGCCTGTTGCTGACGGTTGACTGTCCCTGGCAGCATCAACCAGGCTATTTCTTTTAGGAACAGATCCCAGCTCAGGATCCCAGAGGTGCAATGCAGACAGTACAGAGCACTGTGCTTCAACACAGGGTCCTCTCACCCGGGGTCCTGCTGGAGTCCTGGATTGCCAGAAGGATCTATAACTGGGGGCTGGGGGCTGGGACGGGCCAGATGATGCCAGGGCTTGGCAGACAGAGGGCATTTTGTCTATATCAGGGTGGGGGTGGCACTGATCATTGTTTATAAGTGCCAGGCACTGCCAATGCTCTGTGAGCAAGTGGCTTGAAAGCCAGCTCTCTCCTCCTTATAGCAGGGCCAACCAGGCCCAAGCCAGGCCACAGACCCTCCCCTCTGGGGGTCAGTGACAAGCGGTCCCTGGGTGGCAAAGACCTGTCTGGGAACTGTGGCCACAGAAGAAAGCCTCTAGTCCTAAGGAGCTATACCTCTGGCCCGCTGCCAGCACAAGCAATGTATTTGTTCATCTTTCAAGCATTCCATGGTGCTTGTAAAACAAGTGATTGTATCTCCCTTTGTCCCAGGGACTTTCGGGAGAGTTTTGTGAGAATAAAGCCGGCCACTAGTTAGAATTTCTTGTTGCTCCAATGAGAACCCGGCGGAGACAGCAGAAGGGCCTGCCTCCCCTTCCAGGAGCAGCTGGAGGAGGATTCAGACCATCCTAGGATTTCCATGGCTGTAGGGACATGGGGTAGGTGATGCTCCTGCAAACCACTGAGTGATGCCCTGGGCTCTGGCACTGGGCAAATAAACTGGGCAGCCTGGCTACAGCTTTTATTTACACACTGATTTAGTGGTTAGAGGCACGAGCAGGAGGCAAGAGAGAACAGTAAGCTG